CAGGCAGAGGAAAAAGGACTGGAATGGATCACACAGATAAATAAAGGCACCGTATATTATGCCAATTCTTTTAAAGGTCGCTTCACAATCTCCAAAGATAGTTCCAGGAACCTGGTTTATCTAGACATGAATGGACTGAAAGCTGAAGACACAGCCAAGTATTACTGTGCAAGGGAGCACAGTGGAGAAAAATGAATCTGAGCTTGTTCTGAAACTTACAATTTATGCGGCAAAGGGAAAGTTTCATTTGGATTCACTCCAATGAAAACAGAATCACAACAGCACAGCTTTAAATATATCATGAGCAATTCATTTGGGATCTGTCACAGCTGTTTAGTTACTCTTATTTTAGCAAGGAGATGAATACAGTGAGAAGGAACTGGATTTGCATATGGACAGTGTCTGAAAGATAATTTTCTCTCACAGCCCAACTCACCTTACACCCACGACAGCCCAGAAATTAAGTTGACAGGGGAATTCTTATAAAGCAGAGGTGCCAAACTCGCAATGTCACATGATGTGTTGTGACATATCACAATTTTTTTTCCATTGCTGGCAATGGTGTGGGCGTAGTTTCGACATGACAAATCCAGCCCACGGGCTGGCAGTTTGACATCCCTGTTATAAAGCAACTAGCTCTTTGTATAATGCTTCTATTAACAAATAATCAAGGTCATTTTATTCTACTAGATTCTAGGTATCTCAACTTTGCTCTTGTTCTAGGTCACTCAGGTCAAGTCGCATAATTTATTTCCTCAACTAAACATAATTCTCAATAAAAGAAAAGATATACCCTAATAGATTATGGAGAATTTGATAGATATGGTGGGCACCACAACTGGAACTAGTCCAAAATCACCCAGTGTAAGGTCCTGCCTCAGCTAACTTCTCAGGAAATCATGACCCTTGAAACAAGCATTATTTCAAAAGGATGTTTTACTGAGAGAAAGTGATTGCAGAGAAGCCAGGCAGAATCTGAAGTTCCCGCATGAATCATTAAGCTAATTCCCCATTGTTCAAATCCACCCCGTGGCCCAGTCCATCAGGAGCCAATCCACTGGCATGAGGTCATTGTGAGAACTCTGAGGTGAGAAGGAGATAACATATCATTCCCTGGTGCTGTGACCTTGGTAACAGGCAGATGCTGGCCAGAAAGGAATCCATCCAGGATGTCCATTTCCCCCCTCCATAATTCCCATGCAGATACAGCAAAGCAAAAACATCAAATACTTCAATTTCCAAGTGACAGTCCCCCCTCCCCTCAGAAAAACAGCTTTCTGACAGGGACATGACACCGAGTTGATTTTTCATGCCTAAGACCAAAGTACATTTCTCAGTCTTCTGGCCACCATATTAACTAGTACACTAAACTGGGTCTCTAAGTAATGCTAAGACTGTGGTCTAGTGTGGATAATGATGATGATGATGATGGTGATGGTGGTGGTGATGGTGGTGAAGATGTCAACGGGCAGAGTTAAAGTTGATAGATATGGTAGGCCCCATGATCTCTTCTTATATAGAGAAGGACATGCAAATTGAAAGACAGCCCAACCTTTAAATGTCTCCCTCCTTCTTACTCAAAGATCCAGAGATTACCAGAACTCTTGGGAATCAGCAATTCACCTAATATATATTTCTCCTACAAAACATTTAATAACAATGATTATATGGATAAATGTCATCTTGACTCTCTCCATTTTTAAAGGTATTCTTCTTTGGGTTCCATAATATTGTAAGTTGCACTTCAATTTCTCCACAAGCTCTTCAGATATCTTCTTGTGTCTTTCTTTTCAGATGTTCTGGCAGATGTTTCATTAACTGAATCAGGAGGAGGGCTGAAAAGACCTGGAGATTCTCTTCGATTCACTTGCACATGCTCTGGGTTCAACATTGATAGTTACTGGATCCACTGGGTCTGCCAGGCAGATGGAAAAGGGCTGGAGTGGATCTCACGGATAAATAAAGGCACCACACACTATGCAAATTCTTTTAAAGGTCGATTCACAATCTCCAAAGATAGTTCCAGGAACCTGGTTTATCTAGAATGGACTGAAAGCTGAAGACATAGCCAAGTATTACTGTGCAAGGGAACACAGTGGAGAAAAATGAATCTGAGCTTGTTCTGAAACTTACAGTTTATGTGGCAAAAGGAAAGTTTCATTTGGATTCACTCCAATGAAAACGGAATCATAACAGCACAGCTTTATATATATATGAGCAATTCATTTGGGATCTGTCACAGCTGTTTAGTTACTCTCATTTTAGCAAGGAGATGAATATAGTGAGAAGGAACTGGATTTGCATATGGACAGTGTCTGAAAGAGTAATTTTCTCTCACAGCCCAACTCACCTGACATCCATGACAGCTCAGAAATTAGGTTGACAGGGGAATTCTTATAAAGCAGAGGTGTCAAACTCGCAATGTCACATGATGTATCGCGACATATCACAATTTTTTTTACATTGCTGGCAATGGTGTGGGCATGGTTTCGGCATAACAAATCCAGCCCGCGGGCCAGCAGTTTGACATCCCTGTTATAAAGCAACTAGCTCTTTGTATAATGCTTCTATTAACAAATAAACAAGGTCATTTTATTCTACTAGATTCTAGGTATCTCAGCTTTGTTCTTGTTCTAGGTCACTGAGGTCAAGTCACATAAATTATTTCCTCAACTCAGCATCTTTTTTACATCGGGGTGAGCAAAACTGGATGCAGTATTTCAAGTGTGGCCTTACCATCTTGATTCTATCCCTCTGTTAATGCAGCCAAGCACTGAGTTGGATTTTTGGTAGCTGTAGCACACTGCTAGCTCATATTTAGGTGATTGTCCACTAAGACTCCGAAATCCCTCTCACAGTTACTACTATTGAGCAACGTACCCCCTATACTATACCTGTACATTTGGTTTTTCTTGCCTAAATGTAGAATCTATTTTTTTTTTTCATTTTGTTAGATAGCGCCCAGTATTCAAGTCTGTCCAGGTCCTCCTGTATCTTAAGATCTGGAGTGTTGGCTATTCCTGCCAGCTTTGTGTCATCCACAAATTTGATGAGTTCCCCATCTATCCCCTCGTCCAAATCATTGATGAATATGTTGAAGAGCACTGGGCCTAGAACAGAGCCCTGGGGCACCCCACTACATACTTCCCTCCATGTAGATGCAGTTCCATTGAGGACCATATGCTGAGTATGGCCAGTCAGCCAGCTACGGATCCATCTGGTGGTGATTTTTTCTAACCCACTTTTTTCTATCTTATCGAGTAGTAGGTTGTGATCTACTTTATCAAATGCCTTACTGAAGTCCAAGTAAATGATATCCACAGCATTCCTCTGATCCACTAATTTTGTCACTTGGTCAAAGAATGCAATAAGGTTTCTCTGGCATGATTTGTTTTTGACAAACCCATGTTGGCTTTTAGTAGTGATTTTGTTTGCTCTAGGTGTTCACTGATTCATTGTTTGATTATCTTTTCCAGAATCTTCCCAGGTATTGAGGTCAGGCTGATAGGTCTGTAATTTCCTGGATCCATTTTTTCCCCTTTTTTGAAGATGGGAACTACATCAGCTCTTTTCCAGTCCTCTGGTAGTTCCTCAGTGTTCCAAGATCTTTGAAAAATATAGTTCAGTGGTTCTGAGATCACATCTTCCAGTTCCTTGACAACCTTGGGGTGTAATCCATCTGGTCCTGGTGATTTGAACTCGTCTAGGCTGGACAGGTGCTCACTTATCATTTTCTTGCCTATCTTAACTTGTGTTTCTATACTGATTTTTATGGCACTATTTTTGATAGGTTGGTCTGTTTTTTTCCCTTTGTGTAAAGACAGATGCAAAAAATGAGTTAAATAGTTCTGCTTTCTCCCTATTGCTTGTCACCTTCTTGCCACTTTCGATCATTTCCTTCACTTTTTTCTTGTTTTTTTACCTATGTAGGGAAAGGCACATGCATAACAATGTTATCTTCAACATTGTATATAGATGTATTAATGGTGTATTTATTACTGAATGTGTTCATATAACATATAACTAATTGGAGAAAAAAAACAATGGTTGGGCTGACAAGAGTTTCCAATCCTAAGCCATAGGAAGTTGATAGAATTCTTTTCTTCTATTTAATTAGACTAATTCAATTTCTATAGTCCAATCAATTGAAGCAATATTTAAATCATGAATGGTTTCCCATCTAAACATGGGTGGAAATCATTGCATTCCAAATGGACTCCATTCTCCATCAGTTCTCCCATGCTTTCTTTTCCTTTCTTCACCTACCTTGCCTCTTATATTGTAACCCATTTTCTTTAGAAATGAAAAAGGGAAAGAGCAGAAAAATTATAAAGCCATCATTTCATTTAAATTGTTTCTATCTATCTGGTATGACTCTTATTAATATTACATTCAAGCAGAACACTAAAACCACCATCTGCCAGACCATTTCTAATGTACTCAAATCTTTGTGACAGTTGAAGATTTCATTCAAATTTTGAGCTTGATTTTCCAGTGGAAGAGATTCATTTGAATTTAGGTTGGTTGTGGTTACCAGGCTCAAGACCAATATTTGAAATTGAAGAACTCCAGCATGGAGGAGGAGGAGGAGGAGGAGGAGGAGGAGGAGGAGAAGAAGAAGAAGAAGAAGAAGAAGAAGAAGAAGAAGAAGAAGAAGAAGAAGAAGAAGAATAAGAATAAGAAGAAGAAGAAGAAGAAGAAGAAGAAGAATAAGAAGAAGAAGAAGAAGAAGAAGAAGAAGAAGAAGAAGAAGAAGAAGAAGAAGAGGAGGAGGAGGAGGAGGAGGAGGAGGAGGAGGAGGAGGAGGAGGAGGAGAAGAAGAAGGAGGAAGAAGAGAGGAGGAGGAGGAGAAGGAGGAGGAAGAGGATGATAAGAAGAAGACAACTTAGATGGATAAACAATATCTATTTGGAATGATATGATATCATAATATTTTTGCACAAGAAATCAGAATATAGATCCCAGAAGGAAAAGTAATCGTCTTGCTGTGATGTAGCTACATTTGCAACACAAAGCTGAATATACACCACAGACTAGCCAATAAATACATAGCATACTTTGTTTCATGTAAATTACTTCCCTGTATGGCCTTCATTAAATAGAATGAAGACAGTATTAGAAGTACCTGACAGTATTGAATTGCTTTTCACCTTTTACATTATCCTTCTTGAAAGCATGGCTTTGAAACTGTTGATAAATTTCCTCATTGTGTTCCCAGCATGTAAGATCACTAGTTTATTTGTAGGCAGATGTGCATTTTTTTGGTGTGTATTTTTTCACATACTTTTATTTTTAAATTGTTTTTGTATTCATGCAGGCACTACTTCAGAAATTACAATTACTCAATCTGCTGCTCAAGTGAAAAGACCAGGGGAAAGGATGAGGTTCACCTGTACAGTTTCTGGATTTTCTCTTGGAAGCTCTGGAATAAGCTGGATCCGCCAGGTCTCAGGAAAGGAACTGGAATGGATCGGAGACATCTGGCATAATGGAGGCACTGCTTATAGCACTATCTTTCGAAGTCAGGCCAGCATCACAAAAGACAATTCTAGGAGCCAAGTGATCTTGCAGCTCAATGCTTTAAAGGCTGAAGACACAGCTACATATTATTGCATAAGACACAATGACAGGAACCTTCCTTCAAGCTGGTCAAAACTACCGCTGTTCAAATTTAAGCACAGTCATTCTCTTGTGTGTGTCCAACAGGCAGATGGAGGAACTTAACGAAGAGAAGGACAAGGGGGGACAGAATAGCAGTATTCCAATATCTCAGGGGCTGCCATAAAGAAGAGGGAATCAAGCTATTTTCCAAAGCACCTCAAGGCAGGAGAAGAAGCAACGGGTGGAAACTAATCAAGGGGAGAAGCAACCTAGAAACTTCCTGACAGTGAGAACAATTAATCAGTGGAACAGCCTGCCTCCAGAAGCAGTAAATGCTCCAACACTGGAAGTTTTTAAGAAGAGACTGGACAGCCATTTGTCTGAAATGGTGTAGGGTTTCCTGCTTGAGCAGGGGGTTGGACTAGATGACCTCCAAGATCCCTTCCAACTTTACTACTACTACTACTACTACTACTACTACTACTACTACTACTATTATTATTATTATTATTATTATTATTATTATTATTATTATTACTAACTCTTTTGTGTATTATTATTTCTTGAACCACAAATCCCAAACTTGCCATAATATTTTCATTGCAAGATTTCTTAAAAAAAAATAATTGTCAAGAAAAGTGACTCAAAACTTAACTAAATTGCCTTATTCTATCTTTCTTCTTGCTTCCTCAGCAGCTCTTTGGGGGATTTCAAAGCAATTACTAATGACTTTTTCTACCTTTAAGAGAACCAATGTCCATCTATGGAGAACGATAGGAATTTAGACCTTAAACATTTTGCCCCACAGTGTCAAACTATAAGAAGGTTAAATATAGTGACATTTCAGTGTCATAAAATCCTTCACTGGTAAAGTCAAGAACCACATAAACCCATTTTCCATAATGGCCTTCTTGTAATGCCAATTTTCACAAATAAGAATTACTACATGTTGCATTGGGTTGAATATTTTTGATTTTACATTTTTGTAAACTTCAATTCTTAGGGCCCATTCTTCTTCACATACGAATGTAGATAATTAAAACTAAATCTGCCTGGAGAGATAACAGATCATTACATTTTATAAAGAATTCTAAAAGTGTCTAAATTAAAAATAAAGGCATGGTAATAAAGTTATCATGTATTGTGCAGAAATTGGTTCTTCCTCCTGCAGTTTAATTAGGTGAAACATTTCTGGAGTTATTCTTCTGATGCTCTATTTATTATGATCATGCATTTATCACAACCACTCAGAATCACTGAAAGTTGGAGGACATATACATTTAATCTATTATTATTGTTATCTAGGAGATTTAGGAAGCACCTTCTATCCTTTTGTTGTTGGATGTCTTCCAGGAATAGGCAAACCAAGATCTGCTTTTCATTTTTTAAGGCCAGTCTTAGCCTTCTAAGAAAGGGACTTCTAAGCCTTTTAAGCTCATCAATTAAAAATGTTGAGTTTTCCAGTTGACAACTTGTGTTCAAGGGTGAGCTTCCATTACTTGCCCCAGTTCCTGCTCGTCTAACAGTTCAAAAGCATGCAAATGAAGTAGATAAATAAGTACCACTTCAATGGGAAAGTAACAGCATCTGGTGTGCTCTGGGATGTAGTCATGCCAGCCAAGCATCTTTGGACAATGCTGGCTCCCTTGGCTAAGAAACAGAGATGAACACTGCTCCCTACATTCAGACATAACTGGACAGGGGAAACCTTTACTTTTAGCCTTCTCTGAAAAAGGACTCCCTTCAGTCTGCCAACCATCACAGATTTATTACCCTTCCATTCATCGTGATGATATGGCTCAACTACAGCTTGATGATCATCATGACACTACTTTGTAAATTTTTATCTCTTCTTATCTTAACATTTATTTTATTTTTTATTTTATTTTTAAAATTTATAAACTGCCCACTCCCGTAGGACTCTGGGCGGCTAACAATAAAAACAACATAAAACATGACAAACAAAACAGTACAATTACAGTCATCCAGGGGTCAGGTTTTATAAACCCCAGGCCTGCCGGAAAAGCCAGGTCTTAAGCAGCTTATGGAAAACCAACAGGGTGGGAGTGGTCCTAATCTCCAGGGGGAGCTGGTTCCAAGACGTGGGTGCCATCACAGAGAAAGCCCTCCTCCGCGGCCCCGCCAAATGGCACTGCTTGGCCGACGGGGCCTGAAGGAGGCCCAGCCTGAGGGATCTAACCGGCTGAAGGGAACTATGAGGTAGTAGGTGGTCTCGCATATAGTCTGGCCCTGAGCCATATAGGGCTTTAAAGATAATAACCAACACCTTGAATTGGACCCGGAGACCAATAGGTAACCAGTGCAGCTCACGGAACATAGGTGTAACATGGGTGTATTGAGGAGCACCCACTATCGCTCACGTGGCTGCATTCTGGGCCAACTGTAGTCTCCGAATAGTTTTCAAGGGTAGCCCCATGTAGAGCATGTTGCAGTAGTCCAGACATGTTGAGCCATAACATGTTTAACAAAAAGTTAAATTTGGGAAGGACTAATTTTGTTGCTTGGTATTGACACAATGATATTATGTGACCTTTCTGGCTGTTAATAATTCATTGCAGTCACTGCCCCATTCAGTTAAAAAGACCAGGAGAATCCACAGTACTCATCTGTTCTGTGTTAGAATTTAACCTAAGCATCTACAGCATGCATTGGGTCAGGCAGTTTCCAGGAAAAGCTTAGGAAATTTTGGTTTACTATTATTCAGCAACAAACAATTACTATTCTCCAGTTATCAAAGGGAGATTCTCTGCCTCCAAATGCAGCTCTCAAATTATTTGCAAATGGACAATCTAAAGCAAGGAAACAGGTGTCTAATTACAACACTAGAGATACACAGTGCTGAAAGTCTAACCTTAGCTTGTGTAAAAACTCTTTTCTTGCTTAACCCTTGGAAGGCAGTTCCTGTAGATGGAGCTCTTGTTCCACCATGTTTTTCAGGAAAAAAATGTTCAGAATTTAAAAATAGGAGAAACCACAAAGAGAGGACAAAAATAGACAAGGAAACATTGGTTTACCACATGGAGCAGCTGTCTAGAAAGAGTGGCCTCAGAGCTAAAAGACATTGATTGATTGCTTATACATTCAACATATTTAGATGTTTGAGATGTTACTCACCTCATTATCCTTTTGAGGACAGAATAAAGGGATTCCTAAAAAGAATTGGTACAGTTTCTGAGGTAGGAAAATGGTTGCAATTCATTACCTAAATACAGGTGAGAATGCATATGGGAATTCCAAGTTGAAGGAACTTTGAGATATTATATAAAAATAAAAAAGACATGTGGAATGGGAAAGACTTTTCCAAACAGGGTTGCCCTCCACAAAATAGGAACTTGGAAAATAGACAATCAATTTGCTCAATAAAACTATTTAAAATTATCACATTCAATTGCTACATATCAGGATAATTCTTTGTCTCTTTTCAATGTTGATCTGTGATTTACACCATTTCATACATGAACATATGGACAGCTTTCACACATCACATTAAGCCTTAATTGTCTTAAGCATGTTTTACATTCCCGTTGATTCACCACTGAATCAACAGATTTTTTTTCAAATTCTATCAAAAGACGTAAGATAAGGCTCACTGTGACAGGGATATAGAGTGGCTAAACTGATAACAGTTGAATATCACTTCTGCCTTTTAATAAAATTCATTAGTTCAAAAAGGTGCTACCAGATTCTTTATTATGTTCTTCCACCATAGAAGATGTTTCTGTTCATACAATCACATCAGAAGGTGATATACCAGTCATCCATCAGTGGTATGGCCATATACTTTTCAGATCTAAAAAATGAGCGAAGAATGTTCCATCTCCTTATATTGTGAGGCAGTAAGAACTTAAACCTCTTAAAAGGGAAAACATATGCAAACCACTTCATCATAAATTAATTTCCCCCTCTACTGAAGCTTCATTCATACTTGACCATCTGTCTCTTCTAAAAAATAGATCTTCAAAGGGATAATAACAGTGAAGAAAAGGGATCATGAACTGGCTCCTTCTAATTTTCATTCCCACAATTTTGAAAGGTATGCTACTGCTGGTGTCTTCTTTTTGTTTTATTAGCACAACTCATTCTCACAGATTATCTGTATAGATCAGAAAAATAATCTTAATCTTTAATTATAATAGCTTTTTTCTTATAGAGTAATTCATTTCCATCATTTGATGACCATTTCTCCATCCCCCAGGTGCCCTTTCTCAGATTACTCTTACCCAGTCAAGTCCAGTAATCAAGAATCAAGGAGAATCACTCCAACTCAAATGCTCCATAACTGGGTTTGATATTTACAATCATTATATGCAATGGTCGATGAAGCAGCCTGGGAACCCACTGAAGTGGCTGGTACACTATCGTATCCCAAAGTACAGTGCTTATTCTCCCACAATACAAGGAAGATTTACAGCCTCCAAAGACAGTTCCAACTTTTACCTCCAAATGAATGATTTGAAAGTGGAGGATACAGCTGTGTATTATTGTATTAGTACAATAACCCACACAGTGATGGAAAAGAATCATGACAAGAGGGGAAAAAAACCCTTCTCTTAAATTGGATTCAGTTTGTGGGTTGGCTTACCTGCAGATGGGCTTATCCATAAATGTATACAGTAATACTTTTTTTTTCAAAAAAGTACTCATATGCCCCATATATATTCATGGAGAAGCCCATCAGCAGATAAGCAAACCCATAAATGTTTAACCAAAATATCATAAAAATGCAATATCTATGAAAGGGCTCATTGTGAATATTGAAACATACAAAAAATTAGAGGGTTTTTTTTATACATAGCTGACACATTTTTTCATACCGGTAGTATTTTGGTTTAAAATCTCACGAAGTTTGGTCTTACACATAATTTGGCTTATCCATGGATATGTACAGTGCTAAAGACTCATTACTCTGCTTTGTTCATAAGAGCAGATAAGGTTGTCCATATTTTACATTGGACAATAGGTATTTACTTTTGTGTAACTGTAAGTCTGATATCATTATGTAGGGTAAAATAGCTAAGAGCAAGTAATGCAAAAATAAAATAGGGCCATCAAATGCTTTGCAAATGTTGAAACAAAAACATGATACATTTAAATTCCATAGGTGTAAATTTGCAGTTCATATTGATAGTAGATAATTAGCTGTTTCATTTGACTTTCTTCAGGTCTGTAATGGCAATAGCAAGTCCTTGGACTTATATACCACTTCACAGTACTTTACAGCCCTCTCTAAGCAGTTTTTACAGAGTCAGCATATGGCCTCTGATGACTTGGGTCTTCATTTTACTGACCTTGTGAGGATAGAAAGCTGAGTCAACCTTGAGCCAGTGAGAATCAAACTGCTGGCAGTTGGCAGAATTAGCCTGCAGTACTGCATTCTAACCAGTGTGCCACCACGGCTCTTAATCAAGATTCTTATCTAGCAAATACCATTTTTCACTGGATATTCTTGTGGCTGTAAAGAATCTCTAAGAGAGAGGGTACATATTAAACCTCCACTAATTTTAGATGTCACCAATGCAATTCAGAGATGAGATATGCAATCTTGGTCCTCAGCAACAGGCACCTGTTCTTGATGTTTTTGGGTTTCAGTGGACAATTGAAGTACGGAGCACTTAAAATATTATCTACTTAAATAATGGGCATTTTGAGTACTATGCAAATTATTTTATGTTACTGCTGCTTTAAAGGGGAAGGATTAAACTGACCATTAGGTTCCTTTTAGCTGGAGATCAGAATTTCTGCTCATCTCTCTTACTCAATATTAACATTATGGAATGGACTATCTTGGCATGTTTCATATTGTCATTCTCTGAATGTAAGGAACTATATATATATATATATATATATATATATATATATATATATATATATATATATATATATATATATATACTGATCTCTTCTATCTTCATGTAATATTCCAACAATTCTTTCTGTTACCTTATGCCACAGGCAGTTTATCCAGTCGTACCATTATTGAATCAGGAGGTGATGTTAAGAGGCCTGGGGAGTCCATAAAACTGACTTGTACAGTGTCTGGATTTTCTGTAGCAGAGGCGTACATGGACTGGATCCATCAACGTCCAGGAGAGGGACTGGAATGGGTTGGACGTATTGCAAAGAGTGGGACTGTATATTATAATAGTATTTTACAAAATCGGTTAACCCTCACAAGAGATACCTCCAAAAACCAATTTTTACTGCAACTCAATGGTCTAAAACCAGAAGACACTGCCTTGTATTTCTGCACAGAAGACACACAGTGAATGAGTCCTTCTAAAAATATCCTCCCTGAAATACAATTTTGCATGTTAAACAAATCCTTTTTTCAGTCATTTGGGTTTCCCAATTACTGCTTTGTAACATCATTCTTTTTTCATACTGCAACAATCATTGGTGGTATGGATACATGAAGTGCAGTTATAACAGTATAACAAAGTTGGGAGGGACCGTGGAGTTCTTCTAGTACAAATCTCTGCTCAAGCAGATTGAACTAGAAGATCTACAAGGTCCCTTCCAGCTGTAATCTGATTGATTGAATGATTGATTGATTGACAAGGTCCCTTCCAGCTCTAATCTGATTGATTGAATGATTGATTGATTGACAAGGTCCCTTCCAGCTCTAATCTGATTGATTGAATGATTGATGATTGACAAGGTCCCTTCCAGCTCTAATCTGATTGATTGAATGATTGATTGATTGAGAAGGTCCCTTCCAGCTCTAATCTGATTGATTGAATGATTGATTGATTGAGAAGGTCCCTTCCAGCTCTAATTTGATTGATTGAATGATTGATTGATTGAGAAGGTCCCTTCCAGCTCTAATCTGATTGATTGAATGATTGATTGATTGAGAAGGTCCCTTCCAGCTCTAATCTGATTGATTGAATGATTGATTGATTGAGAAGGTCCCTTCCAGCTCTAATCTGATTGACTGAATGATTGATTGATTGAGAAGGTCCCTTCCAGCTCTAATCTGATTGATTGAATGATTGATTGATTGACTCCTAAAAGGGATTACAACAGTTTATGCTGCAGGAAAATGGTTTAAATATTTATTTATTTATAAAATTTAAATATGCATTGAGAATGCATATTGTGAATGTCAAGTTGGAAGGCCTTTGAGATATAATTTAAACATATGAAATGGTTTTTGCATGGAAAAATAGTCTTCAAACAGGGCTTGCTCAGCAAAGCCACTTCAAAACATTGCATTTAATTGCAGCTTATCAGGATAAATCTTTGTCTCTTCTCAATGTTGATCTGTGATTTACACCTTTTCATATAGGAAGACATGGACAGCTCTCACATATCACATTAAGCATTGATTGTCCTAAGCATGATTTCTTGAACCATTCACCAATGAATTCAAAGGAATCTAGATTTTTTGTTTTTCAAAGATTTTGTAGAAAGGCTTAAAGCAGGCATGCCAAAATGCTGGCCCGCAGGCCAGGCGCATCACCAGGAAATCACACCACCCCATTGCTGCAGTGGGGAAAAATTCTGATACGTTGCACGATGTCATGTGACATCACAAATTTGACGTGTCTGGCTTAAAGTTTTGTAAGGTACTTTAACAGTCACATAGTGACTAAGCTGATAAGGGCTAAATAAAAACATTTGAACTTGGAAAATGTGCTACCAGACCCTTTATCATTTTCTTTCACTGTAGACTAATGTGGTTCTATTGCTACAATGACACTAGAAGCTCATCAACCAATGATGGCACAGCCATACAATAACTTTGTTAACTGTCAAGACTGTTTTTTTTTTCCATTAGTTATTCTAAATAGTCTGTGATCCTCTCCTCTCCTCTCCTCTCCAGTGTTGTTCTAATGGAAGTTTCCTTCTCCTTATGTGATGAGGCAGTAAGAACTTAAACCTCTTAAAAGGGAAAACATATGCAAATTACTTCATCATATATTATTTTCCTCCTCTGCTGAAGCTTCATTCACTCCTGATCTCCTGTCTCTTCTACAGAAAAGTCTTCAAAGGGATAATAACAGAGAAGAAACAGGATCATGAATTTGCTGCGCCTAATTTTCATTCAAACAATTTTAAAAAGTATGCTACTGCTGATGTCCTCTTTTGGTTTTAAAGCACAGCTCAATCTCAAAGAGGATCTGTGCAGATCAGAAAAATAATCAATCTTTAATTATGGTAGCTTTTTTTCTTATAGAGTAATTCATTGCTATCATCTGGTGACCATTTCTTCTTCCTCCAGGTACCCTTTCTCAAATTACTCTTACCCAGTCAAGTCTAATAATCAAGAATCAAGGAGAATCCATCCAACTCAAATGTTCCATAACTGGATTTGATATCAGTCACCATTATATGAATTGGGTGATGCAGAGGCCTGGGAAGCCATTGGAATGGCTGGTATATTATCGTATCCTGAAGTACAGTGGTTATTCTCCAAGAATACAAGGAAGATTTACAGCCTCCAAAGACAGTTCCAACTTCTACCTCCAAATGAATGACTTGAAAGTGGAGGATACTGCTGTATATTATTGTACTACTCATATAGACCCTGCACAATGATGGAAAAGAATCACGACAAAGGAAAAAACAATCCTTATTTTTCTGGAACAGTCATGTTTCATGATATGGACTGCTGGCAGAATTATTTATTATGAGGTAACAACTGTTTCTAAAGAAAATAGAAGGGGGAATCTCCCTCTCCATGGCAAAAAACTCTTTCATGCATGAAAAATCCAAGAAGTGAGTTACCATCTGTTTCCATGGCCATTTGTCTATCTCACACATCATAAACAGTCCTCCACATCAGTATTTGTCAATCTTGTCAACTTCAGGTTTTCTGGACTTCAATTCCTAGTGTTCCTAGTCAGCATGAATTCTGGGAGTTGAAGTCCAGGCATCTTAAAAGTGACAATGTTGACTAAACACCAACCCCAAACAGATGTTGGAGAATGCACATTGATGTTCACTTCTGACTGCTTGTAGTTAGATTTCAGAAATTAGAACATAACAAATGAAGTGAAATGAAACAATGCATTGTCATAACTCTTTGCTTAATTGTAAATCTATGTAAAATAAATCAAAGAATTTGGAAAATTACTATGATCGAAATGTTTACAAAATGCTTGAGCCGGTCAGTTTGCAATCCTTCATGGTGGATTCTTCAGAATTATGAAGAGCTCCAAAATATGTTTTGTCTTGTCTCATCAGTTCTTGTAGGAAGGGTATGTTTTGAGTCCTGTCAAATAATATCATCTGGTGGGGCACAGGAATCATGTCTTCTCAAGACCTTCTCTTTGGAAGATAATTCCATCTGAGGTTAAATTAGATCCAATTTTGCTGACCATTCATACAGCTCATGAGACCTGGCCTTTCTCTTAATCATGGGGATTTTTCTTCTAGACCAGGAGTCTTCAAACGTGGCCCTTTTAGGACTTGTGGACTTCAATTCCCAGAATTCCTCAGTCAGGCACTCTGGCTGAGGAATTCTGGGACTTGAAGTCCACAAGTCCTAAAAGGGCCACGTTTGAAGACCCCTGTTCTAGACTAACATGGTTTTATTCACACAATCACACCAGAACGTGATAAGCCAGTCATCCGTCAATGGTATAGCTATGTACTTTTCAGATCTGAACATTGAACAAAGAAATGTTCCATCTTCTTATATTGTGAGGCAGTAAGAACTTAAACCTCTTAAAAGGGAAAACTTATGCAAACCACTTCATCATTAATTAATTTCCCCCTCTGCTGAAGCTTCATTCATATTTGACCTCCTGTCTCTTCTAAAAAAAAACGGTCTTCAAAGGGATAATAACAGAGAAGAAACAGGATCATGAACTGGCTGCCTCTAATTTTCATTCTCACAGTTTTGAAAGGTATGCTATTGCTGGTGTTTTCTTTTGGTTTTACAGCATAGCTCATTCTCACAGATTATCTGCAGAGATCAGAAAAAAATACTCTTGGTTTTTAATTATAATAGTTTTTTTCTTATAGAGTAATTCATTTCCATCACTTGATGACACTTTCTCCTTCCTCCAGGTGCCCTTTGTCAGATTACTCTCACCCAGTCAAGTCCAGTAATCAAGAATCAAGGAGAATCACTCCAACTCAAATGCTCCATAACTGGGTTTGATATTTACAATCATTATATGGATTGGTTGATGAAGAAGCCCGGGAACCCACTGAAGTGGCTGGTACACTATCGTATCCCGAAGTACAGTGCTTATTCCCCCACAATACAAGGAAGATTTACAGCCTCCAAAGACAGTTCCAACTTCTACCTTCAAATGAATGATTTGAAAATGGAGGATACAGCTGTGTACTATTGTACTAGTGCAATAACCCACACAGTGATGGAAAAGAATCATGACGAGAGGGCAACATGCTTTTTGGTCTGAAGCACTCATGTTTCATGACAGTGCAGCAACTGGCAGGAATATTTATTATTAGAAAGCATTTTTACTAAAGAAAATATAAAGGGGAATCTATGTCTCCATGACAAAGTTCAGTTTCATGCATGATAAATCCAAGATATCTGTTTCCATAGCCATCTGTCTCTCAAATCATGCACACTCCTCTATACCACCATTTGTCAACCTTCTAAAATTTAAGATGTATGGCCTTCAACTCCCAGAATTCCCCAGCCAGCATGAATTTACCTGAGAATTCTCTCAATCATGGGAGATAGTTATGCACATGAGTTCTATGTTATTAATGAATTTACTCCTAGTTTTTTTCCTGTTGGCTTTGCATATTTTATGGGTTTATTTTTTTAACTTGCATTCCATGGATGTGTTTTGTAAGTTGATTATTATCTCACTCACTTGGTGAGATAATAATCAACTAAAATAAACTCAACTTTTATTTAATTAGCTAATTGATCTGTGTTCCATTGGGTCCATTTTTATCATTTTTATTCAATGCAATAAAACTAAACCACTTCCTCAGCCCTTTAAACAGCAATGCAGTGATTTTTGTTTATCTTCAGAGTCTACTTTTAAAGGGAAGGAATCCTTTGAGGGAAGTGCAGATTCTAGCAATTTCACTCATGGAAGTTTATTTGCAACTCTCAAAAAGTATTTTACAACTGCTGTCTTCTTGATTGTGGTTTGATTAAGCAACTTGGCCAACTCATTTGAATTCTCAGATGGTTCAACATATAAGTCCAGTCTATAAACTTGATTTTTCTGGTGGACTCAAATCTACATACCATACATACTTTAGAATAAGCCAAGAATGTTAGCTTTGAAAAAAAAATCACCAATCAAGTTGGGTTCACCTTATCTGGGGTTGGGTTTATCCATGTGTATATACAGTATACTTTTTTTAAAGTACTCATATCTCCAAGTTATATTCAGGGATAAGCCCATCAGCAGATAAGCCACAAACAAATATTTAACCAAAATACCATGAAAAATGCAATATCATAAGAAGGATAATTGTAAACACTGAAACATACAAAAAACCAAAAACAAACAGAGAGTTTGTTTATTCATAGCTGACACATTTTTATGGTATTTTGGTTTAAAGTTTCACAAAGTTTGATCTTATCCATAATTTGGCTTATCCATGAGTATGTATGCTACTAAACAGTCATTACTTGTTTAGTAATGTTTATAAGAACAGATTAGAGCTAATAAGATTGTCCATGTATTAAATTGGATAACAGGTCTTCTAGTGTTTTATGGAATTGTAAGTCTGACTTCATTAGGTGTGGCAAAGAAGCTATGAACAAGTACTGTCAAAATTAAATAAAGCCATTAATTGCCCCAAGGGTATTTTTTCAAATGGCAACTTTTTTTTTGCTAAACAAAGCAAAAAAAACAAAAACAAAAAAAACAAAAAACACCTCAAAACAAAAACAAAGTCCAGTTGTATTTTGAAAAAGCACCTTTGGGACAATCTTCACCTGCATGACTGAGAATCTCCATAGACAAGGCCATTAATTGCTTTGCAAATGGTGGAAAGAAACCATGATGGGTTTCATCTCCTTAGGTGTAAATTTGCAATTCACATTGTCAGTTGATAATTAGCTGTTTCATTTGGTTTCCTTCAAGTTTGTAATGGCAATAGCAATAGCACTTGGACTTCTATATTGCTTCACAATGCTTTACAGCCCTCTTTAAGCAGTTTTTAGGGAGTCAGCATATTGCCCCAGTGATATGGGTACTCACTTTACTGACCTCGGAAGAATGGAAAGCTGAGTCAACCTTGAGCTGGTGAGAATCAAACTTCTGGCAATTGGCAGAATTAGCCTGAAGTACGCATGTGCAGTACCAGTGCTCCACCATGACTCTTAATCAAGATTCTTATCTGGCAAATGTCATTTTTACTGGATATTCCTATGGCTGTGAAGAATCTCTAAGAAAGAGGGTCCTTATCAAATCTCCACTAATTTTAGATGTCACCAAAGCAGTTCAGTGATGTGATATGCAATCTTAGTCCTTAGCAACAGGAATTTGTTCTTGATGTCTTTGGGTTTCAATTCACAATTCACATACTGGGCACTTAAGTACTATCTAATTAAATAATGGGCACTTTGAATATCATGCAAATTATTTTATGCCACAGCTTCTTTAAAGGGGAAGGATTATTTCTTTCAGCTGGAGATCAGAATTTGTGCTCATTTTAGTTAGTCAGTATTAACATTATGGAATTAACAATCTTGGTGTGTTTCATATTGTCATTCTCTGCATGTAAGGAAAAAATGTATTTCATATACTATTTCAAGATGTCATTCTTTTACCTTCTGCACCATCATTTTCTCCTTTTTAATTTTACATTTTTATTGTTGTATCACAGGCATTTCATCCAGTCATACTATTACTGAATCTGGTGGTGATGTTAAGAGGCCTGGGGAGTCCATAAAACTGACTTGTACAGTGTCTGGATTTTCTGTAGCAGAGGCGTACATGGACTGGATCCGTCAACGTCCAGGCAAGGGACTGGAATGGGTTGGACGTATTGCAAAAAGTGGGACTGTATATTATAATAGTATTTTGCAAAATCGGTTAACCCTCACAAGTGATACCTCCAAAAATCAGGTATTTGTCCAACTCAATGGTCTAAAACCTGAAGACACTGCCTTGTATTTCTGCGTAAATAACACACAGTGAATTAGCCCTTCTAAAATTATCCTTCCTGAAATATATCTATCTACCCTGTCATAATGTCACAGCTGCTGAACAAATCCTTTTTTGGTCAGTAGGTTCCTCAATCACTGGTATATAATGTCATTTTTTTTTATGCTGCAAGAATCATATATGATATGGAGCAGTGAAGTGCAGATATCCCATGTTCCTAGTCACAGAACTGAAAGATGAGTTATAAATAAGGGAGAGAGGAAGGGAGAGAGGGAGAGAGGAGGAAGTACCGTAAATGCCGGTGTATAAGACGACTTCCGCGAGCGCTGAAATCGGCGCCAAAGATGGGGGTCGTCTTATACGCCTAGTCGTCTTATACGCCGGAAATACTGGTAGTTTCCGGCGTATAAGATGACGTTCTAGGAATGCGGCCCGGCTATAAAGACGGGGGTCGTCTTATACGCCGGGTTGCCTAATACGCCGGCATATACGGTATTTCCAAAGGTTTTTGATTATTCTTTTTCCTTTTTTACTACTAACAATGGGTAGTAGAAACAGCCATGCAGATCTGATGATTTTTAATGTAAGCCAGCAAGAGTCATTCATAAATAAATAAAAATTGGGGTTTCCCATTGAAGATAGCAAGGAAGCCAACCAAGAAATCATTATGGGACAATGTAGAGAATATGTGGAAGTAGGATTCATTCATCCATTCATTTATTCATTCATTCAGATCTGATAAATTTTAATGTTGTAAGCCTCCCCCCACTCTGTCACCTCTATGAGAATTGGGCAACCATATACATAAATAAAAATTGAGGTTTCCTATTGAAGAAAGCAAGTAAGCCAACCAAAAGTCATTATGGAACAATGCAGAGAATAAATGGAACTAAACATTCATTCATTCATTCATTCATTCATTCATTCATCATATTTATATAGCCATAAGTGCTGCAAAAACATGGCTCTGTGCAGCATACAATGAAAAATAAACCATACAATAAACAATATTAAAAGTATTCTGTAACTAAAAAAAAAGTCCATTAGTGTTACTATTAACACACTTAAGAGAGAATTTGATGTTAAAGGCAATGCAGCCATCTCTCTAAATCACCACTTCCCTGAAATACTCAAGGAACAACCATGTTTTAAAGGAATTCCAGAAAGATGTTGTAAGAGATGAGAGAGGGGATAAATGTATAATCAGTCATGAGTCCTTTCATCCCCACAAGAGATCTAAGTCCAGTCCAACTTGAATTCCTTTTTATTCTTAACTCCCACTAATTTATCTTGACTGATAGTAGTTCAGATTCTTGTATAGAGTTTAAGCTTACAATTAATCTTTCTACAATTTGAATTATCTGGATCTCCTGATTTTCCTGGTTCTTGATTGATGTCATGGATGGGACCAATCTCACCTCAGGGGGAATAATGTTCCAAGGTTGGATGCCATGAAAGAAAAGACCCATCTCCTAGGTCCTTTCTGATGGAATTTCAGACATGAAGGGGATAAAGATACATCATTGGGCAGAGAAAGTCCCTTCCTTGAATAACTCAGCCCCATGCCATAAAAGAATCTAAACCTCAGAACTAGCATCACAAATGGGACCTAAAAGCAAATTAACAACCAATGCAGTTTACAGTGCAGAATTATAATGTATGCCATTCTAGGACACAAATAACAGCCTGGACCACCACATTTTGTATCAGTATAATTATCCATGAACGTAGCTATTATTTTTGCAAATCATGGTTCACATTACATGGGGCCTAGGCTGAATGGCCTGAGGCTTGCTTCTATCCATGACTTATATTTAAATAATAGGTTAGAGTGATGTGTGTATTTACCTAAGTCTGCTCTGAATTTATAATTTTACTTGTGTTTCTTCCTAAGGCCCAGCTTCATTTTAGAAGCTTTTTTCTTTAAATCTCACAGGTCTCATCCTCAAATGAAAGAAAACTTAAATGGATTTGCTCATATTTATAGTTGTTCATACTTAGCTCTACTGCAGGGTACAATTGCCCAAGTTTAGAATAGAGCAGAGCAGAACAGAACAGAACAGCAGAGTTGAAGGAACCTTGAAGTCTTCTAGTCCAACCCCTTGTTCAGGCAGGAAACCCTATACCAATTCAGATAAATAGTTATCCAATCTCTTCTTAAAAAACTTCCAGTGTTGGAGCATTCACAACTTCTGGAGGCAAGTTGTTCCACTCGTTAATTGTTCTGTCAGGAAATTTCTTCTTAGTTCTAGGTCAGGGGTGTCAAACTGACAGCCTGCAGGCTGGATGCGTCATGGCAAAACCATGCCCACCCCATTGCTGGCAATGAATAAAAGTTGTGATACGTCATGACACGTCACGTGATGTTGAGAGTTTGACACCCCTGTTCCAGGTTCTCCTTCATTAGCTCCCAGCCATTGCCTCTTGTCCTGCCCTCAGGTACTTTGGAGAATAGCTTGATTCCCTCTTCTTTATGGCAACCCCTGAGATATTGGAACACTGCTATCATGTCACCCCTCGTCCTCCTTTAAATTAAACTAGACATACCCTATTCCAGCAGCCTTTCCTTATATGCTTTAGCCTCCAGCCCCCTAATCATCTTTGTTGCTCTTTCTTCTCTGCACTCTTTCTAGAATCTCAACATATTTTTACATTGTGGCGACCAAAACTGGATGCAGTATTCCAAGTGTATTGTAAAGTGGTATTAACACTTTGTGTGATCTTAATTCTATCCCTCTGTTAATGCAGCCTAGCATTTGATAATTTGCACTGGAATTCTATTATAACATAATTGTACTATATGGATTTTGGGACAAAATTTGGAAAGATGGTTGAGAAAATATATATTAAACAAACAGCTAGGATAATTATAAATGAGGAAATGACAGGAAAAAATGATATAACCAAAGGAGTAAGACAAGGATGCCCACTTTCTCCTCTTCTATTTATTTTATCATTAGAAATACTTCTTACAAAAATCAATGCAACCTAGAATTGTGTTGGCTTTTTGGGTAACTGCAGCACACTGCTGGCTCATATTTAAGTGATTGTCCACTAGGACTCTGAGATCCCTCTCACAATTATTATGTTCCAGACAATATCACCAACAGTTAGGTGTACTACCACCATAATTATGGACTCCAAGCATTGGATGCTATGACTTTTTGGATTTAGGATGTATTTTGCATTTACCTGTCTGAAATCTGCAAATCAAGACCTGCACTTCATTATTAAAAGCCATTTTTAGCTTTCTTAGAAAAAAAAAACTTCTTTTCAGTCTATATTAGTCATCACAGATTTATTAAGCCTTCTATTCACCACAATGCTGTGCCTCTTCAACATGTTATTGTTCATCACCATGTAAATCTTTTTAACTTTTTTTAATAAAAAATGATTGCTTAATAAAGAGTTAAATTGTGAGAAGATTAATTATCTTGCTTGCTGTAGAGAGAGATATCACTTAATCATACTGGTTTTGATCTTTCATTAAAGTAAACTAACTGCCTCTTTGCTTTCCAGAGGGGATTCACAAGTCACTGTTCATATCTCTTCTCTTCTCTTCTCTTCTCTTCTCTTCTCTTCTCTTCTCTTCTCTTCTCTTCTCTTCTCTTCTCTTCTCTTCTCTTCTCTTCTCTTCTCTTCTCTCCCTTTCCCTTCCATTTTGACTTCTCTTATCCCCACTTCATGCTTGATGCTGTTGTTTGACTGGCAGCTGTTATTAATGATGGGGGATATAAAGGCAAGAAGAATTAAGTGATATCCCTGTCCATACTAAGCCATAACATTAATCTTCTCCCAATTAACCTTATTCTTAAATGAGTATCATTTTAAGAAAAGAAGACAGATGGATCTATAAGGCTATACTGTGACAGGAAGGGAAGAGTTTATAGTGACAACATTAGTAGACATTCTCAGTGTCTCCATTCATTGTCTTTAAGTCTCTCCACACCTGAACCTTCAGCCACTTCCATTTTTTGGTCCTGAAGAGAGGCAATGTTGTCTATACCTCAATGGATTTGTGTTATTTCATTAAATTGTTTATACCCATTGGTGCTCAGTTTATAAGGCAAGAACACCTTCATATAATTAAAGTTTCTAAGAAAAAAACCAATAAAAGTGTAAAAAAAAGGAAAAAGGAGAAAAGGAAAAAGGACTATGTTAGTCATCACAGATTTATTAAGTTTTCCATTCACCACAATGCTATGGCTCTTCAACATGTTATTGTTCGTTACAACACCACCATGTAAATCTTTCTGACTTTTTTTAAAATAAAAAATATTTTTAATAAGGAATTAAATTGTGAGAAGATTGCTGTAGACAGGGATATCACTTGATCCTACTGGTTTTGATCCTTCATTAAAGTAATCTATCTGCCCCTTTCCTTTCCAGATGGGGATTCACAAATCACTCTCACTCAGTCAGGTCCAGAACGAAAAAGAGCAGGAGAATCCACAAGACTCACTTGTTCTATAAAAGGGTTTGACATAAATAACTATGGCCTGCTTTGGATCAAGCAGTTTCCAAGGAAGGGTCCGAAATGGTTGGCTCACTATTCAACAGAAACAATCAACCACTATTCTCCAGCCATCCGAGGGAGATTCTCTGCCTTGAAAACCAATTCTCAATTCTATCTACAAATGAACGATCTAAGGACAGAAGACACCAGATATCTATTATTGCCCTGGAGATACACAACACTGAAAGTCTTATCTTAACTCTTGCAAAAACTCTTTCCTCCACTAAATCTTAGAAGGATGTTCCTGGAGGTGGAGCTGTTGTTCCATCATGCTTTTATTCTGGAAAAAAAACAACAATGTTCAGAATCCAAAAATAGAAGAAACCACAAAGGAAGAACAAAAATAGAGAAGGAAACATTCACTTACCATCTGGAGCAGCTGTCTAACAGAAGTGTCCTCAGAGCTGAAAGACATTGCTTGATTGTTTATTCATTTCACATATTTTAAACATAAGATGTCTTGACTTCAATCCCCCAGATTCTCCAGCCAGCATGAATTCTCCTGGGAATCATCTTAGTCATGGGAATTGGGAGGTGGTTAAGCTTATGAGTTCTATGTATGTGTTATTGATGAATTTACTCCTGGTTGCCATTCTTTGCAGTTTGTTTTGTATATTTTATGAGTTTATTGCTATTATTATTATTTTACAAAAAAATGTTTGTACTGATATTTTTCATAAAGTCACCCAAAAGTAATTTCTTGTGATAGCTACTCTTTTAAGAGTTCTTCCCCTTTATTTTTTTTGTACTTTGTATTTTGATAACTAATAAAAAATTAAAAGTGAAAGATGTTCTTTAGACCTCTCTATTCTATTCTAAAGAGGTCCAAAGAACATCTTCTACTGTTAATTTTTTATTAGCTTATCAAAATATAAAGTACAAAAAAAAAATAAAGGTAAAGTGAGGATAAAAAAGAGAAATAGGAAAAAAAAGTGTACAGGAAAGGGGGGAAAAAGAAAAAAAAAAATTCACTTTAAACTCTTTTTTTAGAGCAGTAGAATAAGGTAATAACATTCAGCCCCAATTCCTCCACCTGGCCCACTAGGATAGGAAGTCAGGCTGTGTTGTGGGTCCCATCTCTCAGGTATCTACGTCTAGGCTGACACAAAGTATTCATTTCTTTTTCCCTTCCCTTCTCTCCCCTCCCCTTCTTTTCTCTTCTTTTCTCTTCTTTTCTCATCTCTTCTCTTTTCTTCTCTTTTCTTCTCTTCTCTTCTCTTCTCTTCTCTTCTCTTCTTTCTCCTTCCATTTTGACTTCTCCCTACTTTATGCTTGATGCTGCTGTTTGACTGGCAGCTTTTGCTGATGATAGGGGATATAAAGGCAAGCAGAATCAAGTGATATCCCTCTCCATAGCGAGCCATTAAATTAATCTTCTGCCAATTAACTTTTTTGTTAAATGAGCATCATTTTAAAAAAAGAAGGTAGATGATTTTATAAGGCAATATTGTGATGGGAAGTGAAGGGAAGAGTTTATAGTGACACATCAGTAGCCATTCTCCGTGTCTCCATTCATGGTCTTCAACTCTCCCCACACCTGAACTTTCAGTCACTTCCATTTTTGGGTCCTGAAGAGAGGCAATGTTGTCTATACCTCAATGGGTCTGTGTTATTTCATTAAATGGTTTGTACCCATTGGTGCTCAGTTTATAAGGCAAGAACACCTTCATATAATTGAAGTTTCTAAGAACAGTTTTCTAAATAGATATATTTATACTGACCATTATGGGAAAAATAAATTTATTGATCTACCAATATTCCTCAAGCCAGGAAGATAAGGCTTTCCTAAAACATGGATGGAAGAATATAGAATTCTCAGGACTCTAGTCTAGATTGGAAATCAAAACCAATTCAGGAAGACCATCTCATCAAACACCTTCTGTATCAATTCAAAGAAAACAACATGGTCTTGTCTATGAATTCATTCCAAACTGAATTCAGCTAGAAGGGATTTCACGTAATCCACAGCTACATAAGTTGCTCACTAAAGCGAATATCGATGTACAGTAGATGCAGTGTGGACATGCACCATTCCTGATATGAGCTCAAGGTCTGTTGTTACACAATAGTTGAAGTTGAGGATGTGACTTGGTTATATTTGTACGATCTGTGATTTCATGCAAATATTCCTGGTGTAGCTTTTTCTTAAAGGCGGTAATTTAGAATATAGTTCAGATCAGTTTCAAGTGGAGAGAGTGAATTCCGTACCTCAATCATGGAGCTTTTTATCTTGATTTCTTTCTTAATGGTCTTTCCTGCATGTAAGGGGAAAAAAACCCTTTAATTTTTTTTTTAAAATAGCAAGTGGTCTTTTTTCTACATTTCCTCATACCCATTTTTTTTTGTTCTTTCTACATTCTTGAATACAGGTATGTCATCACAGATTACCCTTACTGAGTCTGGTGATGGCCTTAAGAAGCCAGGAGATACTCTACGGCTGACTTGTACAGTCTCTGGATTTGCCATCACAAGCTATGGAGTGCACTGGATCCGTCTGCCCCCTGGAAAGGCATTGGAATGGAATGGTATTATCTGGAATGATGGAAGCACTGACTATAACAGTGCTCTCCAGAATAGGATCACCATCACAAGGGATACATCCCAAAACCAGGTTTTCCTTCAACTGACTGGTTTAAAGCCTGAGGATACCGGCACTTATTACTGTGCAGGATACACAGTAAAAAAATGCTTTGCTCTATCAGCCTAAAACTTCTCTTCCTCAAAATGAACTCTTAGTCATTTGTTGTTTTTGAATGGCAGCTGGCAACTAGATTGCTTTCCATGCTCTGCCAGCTATGTGTGAAAGTTTAAAAGGGGAAATTTGGAGCATGCCTTTACTATGGGAACAAGTGGGGCAGGCAGATGTTCTTGGAATAAAGTGGTCCCTCAAGTTGCCCCTTTCTATGACATGTAAGTCTTTAAAAGTGATAACCAGCACCTTGAATCAAAACAGGAGCCTATTGGAAGCCAAAGCAACTCACAAACTAGCAGTGTTAAGTGGGCCTAAAGACATGCACACATAACTCTGGTTGCCAGATGGTCTTCAAGGGCAGTTCCATGTAGAATGCATTGAACTACTCCAAATGAGATGTCAGTAATCAGTATGCTGTTCCAGTTCAGGAATTGGAAAAACTGCTGCCCAATAGGCAAAGGCTCCCAAGATCATAGCTGTTGAATGTTCTTCAAGCAGAAGCTGAGTTCAGAACCTCAGATTGTTCACCAAGTCCAAACAGGGCAATGCTACTCTATTCAAAATCAAAAATGGAAAGACTCGGTTTATTAGATCCGATAGCCAGATGCCAGAATGATTCAGTTCAGTGTTGAGCTGCAACCTGTTCTACCCCCTCCAGTTCCTCACAGCCCTAGAATAGAACCTCAACAGCTTCACTTGGATGGTTGGGGGCAGAGATATACTGTGTCTCTGGGTACCATCTCCATATTGATGATGCCTCACTCTGTACAGGCAGATGATCTCACCAAGTACTACTGAATTGTATGAAAAAACCAATAAAAGTGTAAAAAAAAGGGAAAAAGAGAAAAGGAAAAAGGACTATGTTAGTCATCAAAGATTTATTAAGTTTTCCATTTACCACAATGCTATGGCTCTTCAACATGTTATTGTTCGTCATAACACCACCATGTATATCTTTCTGACTTTTTTTAAAATAAAAAATAGTTCTTTAATAAGGAGTTAAATTGTGAGAAGATTACTGTAGACAGGGATAACACTTGATCCTACTAATTTTGATCCTTCATTAAAGTAATCTATCTGCCTCTTTCCTTTCCAGATGGGGATTCACAAGTCACTCTCACTCAGTCTTCTCCAGAATAAAAAAGAGCAGGAGAATCCACAAGACTAACCTGCTTTGGAAAAGGATGTGACATAAATAGCTATGCCAAGCTTTGGATCAAGCAGTTTCCAAAGAAGGGCCCGGAATGGTTGGCTCACTATTCAACAGAAACAAACCACCACTATTCTCCAGCCCTCCGAGGGTGATTCTCTGCCTTCAAAAGCAACTCTCAATTCTATCTGCAAATGAACAATCTAAGGACAGAAGACACCGGATATCTATTATTGCCCTGGAGATAACATGATTCTCCTGGGAATCATCTTAGTCATGGGAATTGGGAGGTGGTTAAGCTTATGAGTTCTATGTATGTGTTATTGATGAAATTACTCCTGGTTGCCTTTCTTTGCAGTTTGTTTTGTATATTTTTATGGGTTTATTACTATTAACATTATTTTACAAAAAATTGCATTGTACTGATATTTTTTCATAAAGTCACCCAAAGTCATTTGTTGAGATAGCTGCTCTTGTAAGAGGTCTTTCCCTTTTTTTTTGTATTTCGTATTTTGATAAACTAATAAAAAATTAAAAGTGGAAGATGTCCTTTAGACCTCTCTATTTTACTCTAAAGAGCTTATCAAAATATAAAGTGCAAAATAAATAAATAAAGGTAAAGTAAGGATAAAAAAGACAAATAGGAAAAAAAGTGTAATGGAAATGTGGGAAAAAAGAAAAAAACATTCACTTTCAACTCTTTTTTTAGAGCAGTAGAATAAGGTAATAACACATAGCACCAATTCCTCCACCTGGCCCACTAGGATAGGAAGTCAGGCTATGTTGTGGGTCCCATCTCTCAGGTATATACATCTAGGCTGATACAAAAGTGTTCATCTCTTCTTCTCTTCTCTTCTCTTCTCTTCTCTTCTCTTCTCTTCTATCACCTCACCTCATCTCACCTCACCTCACCTCATCTCACCTACCTTCCATTTTGACTTCTCCTCACTTCATGCTTGATGCTGCTGTTTGACTGGCAGCTGTTGCTGATGATGGGGGATATAAAGGCAAGCAGAATCAAGTGATATCCCTGTCCATAGCAAACCATAACATTAATCTTCTCCCAATTAACCTTGTTCTTAAATGAGTATCATTTTAAGAAAAGAAGACAGATAGATCTATAAGGCTATATTGTGATGGGAAGGGAAGGGAAGTGTTTATAATGACAGCATCAGTAGCAATTCTCCACGTCTCCATTCATGGTCTTCAAGTCTCTCCACACCTGAACCTTCAGCCACTTCCATTTTTTTGGCCCTGAAGAGAGGCAATGTTGTCTATACCTCAATGGATCTGTGTTATTTCATGAAATGGTTTGTAACTATTGGTGCTCAGTTTAAAAAGCAAGAACACCTTCATATAATTGAAGTTTCTAAGACCAGTTTTCTGAATAGATATATTTATACTGACCATTATGGGAAAAAATAAATGTATTGATCTACCAGTATTCCTCAAGCCAGAAAGATAAGGCTTTTCTAAAACTTGGATGGAAGAATATAAAATTCTCAGGACTCTATTCTAGATTGGAAATCAAAACCAATTCAGAAAGACCATCTCATCAAACACCTTATGTATCAATTCAAAGAAAATAACTAGGTCTTGTCTATGAATTCATTCCGAACTGAATTCAGCTAGAAGGGATTTCACCTGATTCACAGCTACACAAATTTCCCACAAGAGTGAATATCAATGTATAGTAGAGGCAGTGTGGACATGCACTATTCCTGATATGAGCTCAAGATCTGCTGTTACACAATAGTTGAAGTTGAGGATGTGACTTGGTTATATTTGTACGATCTGTGATCTCATGCAAATATTCCTGGTGTGGCTTTTTCTTAAAGGCGGTAATTGAGAATATAGTTCAGATCTGTTTCAGGTGGAGAGAGTGAATTTCATTCCATCATGGAGCTACATATCTTGATTTCTTTCCTAATGGTCTTTCCTGCATGTAAGGGAAAAAAAAACCCACATTTTTTTTTAAGATAGCAAGAGGTCCTTTTTCTACATATCATAATATACATTTTTTTTCCTTTCTATATTCTTGAATACAGGTATCTCATCACAGATTACACTTACTGAGTCTGGTGATGGCCTTAAGAAGCCAGGAGATACTCTACGGCTGACTTGTACAGTCTCTGGATTTGCCATCACAAGCTATGGAGTGCACTGGATCCGTCAGCCCCCAGGAAAGGCATTGGAATGGAATGGTGTTATCTGGGGTGGTGGAAGCACTAACTATAACAGTGCTCTCCAGAATCGGATCAGTATCACAAGGGATACATCCAAAAACCAAGTTTTCCTTCAATTGACTGGTTTAAAGCCTGAGGACACCGGCACTTATTACTGTGCAGGATACACAGTGAAAGAAATGCTTTGCTCAAGCAGCCTAAAACTTCTCTTCCTCAAAATGAACCCTTAGTCTTTTGTTGTTTTTGAATGGCAGCTGGCAACTAGATTGCTTTCCATGCTCTGCAAGCTATGTGTGAAAGTTTAAAAGGGGAAATTTGGAGCATGCCTTTACTATGGGAGCAAGTGGGGCAGGCAGATGTTCTTGGAATAAAGTGGCCCTACAAGTTGCCCCTTTCTATGACATGTAAGGTTCAAAGGTGATAACCAGCACCTTGAATTATAACAGGAGCCTATTGGAAGCCAATGCAACTCATAAAATAGCAGTGTTAAATAGATCTAAAGAGATGTACTCTGGTTCCCAGATGGTCTTCAAGGGCAGCTCCATGTAGAATACATTGAACTACTCCAAATGAGAGGTCAGTAATCAGCATGCTGTTCCAGTTCAGGAATTGGCAAAACTGCTGCCCAATAGGCAAAGGCCCCCATGATCATAGCTATTGAATGTTCTTCAAGCAGAGCTGAGTTCAGAACCTCAGATTGTTCACCAAGTCCAAACAGGGCAATGCTACTCTATCCAAGATCAAAAATGGAAAGACTCGGTTTATTACATCCGGCAGCTAGATGCCAGAATGATTCACTTTGCTCAGCGTTGAGCTGCAACCTGTTCTACCCCCTCCAGTTCCTCACAGCCCTAGAACAGAACCTCAACAGCTTCACTTGGATGGTTGGGGGCAGAGATATACTGTGTCTCTGGGTATCATCTCCATATTTATGATAACTCACTCTATACAAGCAGATGATCTCACCAAGTACTACTGAATTGTATGAAAAAAAACCAATAAAATTGTAAAAAAAGGAAAAAAAGGACTTCTTTTCGGCCTATGTTAGTCACCACAGATTTATTAAGTTTTCCCTTCACCACAAGCTATGGCTCTTCAACATGTTATTGTTCGTTACAACACCACCATGTAAATCTTTCTGATTTTTTTAAAATAAAGTTCTTTAATAAGGAGTTAAATTGTGAGAAAATTGCTGTAGACAGGGATATCACTTGATCCTACTGGTTTTGATCCTTCATTAAAGTAATCTATCTGCCTCTTTCCTTTCCAGATGGGGATTCACAAGTCACTCTCACTCAGTCAGGTCCAGAACAAAAAAGAGCAACAGAATCCACAAGACTCACCTGCTTTGGCAAAGGATATGACATAAATAGCTCTGCCATGCTTTGGATCAGACAGTTTCCAAGGAAGGGTCCGGAATGGTTGGCTCACTATTCAACAGAAACAATCAACCACTATTCTCCAGCCATCAGAGGGAGATTCTCTGCCTTCAAAAGCAAATCTCAATTCTATCTGCAAAAGACCCATCTAAGGACACAAGACACGGGATGACTATTATTGCCCTGGAGATACACAATGCTGAAAATCTTACCTTATCTTATGCAAAAACTCTTTCCTCCACTAAATCTTATAAGGATGTTCCTGGAGGTAGAGCTGTTGTTCCATCATGCTTTTATTCA